CCGATTTGTCCAACATCTGCATCAGTGAGCAATGTGAGTTATTTTGCTTGTCGTAATGCCTGCAGGACCTTACCCATATCAACAACAGTATACTTCTGTATCTTTCCTGGTATATCAATGTTAAAAAATTGAACCTGGTGTGAAAGAGGGCTGAGAAAAAACCGTAGACGACGCGTCATAAAAGCAAACCTTCCGATGTTTTCCTTTTAGAGAGCCATCTTTTCCGTAGATGCAGCAAGTATTGTAGAGATGATCGCCATTTCGTTCCAGTAGGAGCCACCGATGATGGTAACCTGCCATATCCGAAAGCATATTGGAAGAGGGAGAATCACCTGCGTCAATATCCTCCGCGTAGATTGGAAAGCTCGTGTTTGAGTATGGACAATTCCACATTTCCTGCAACACATTCTCCTTATAACTGAACAGACAACTACAAAACTTAACTGGAAGAAGGACCAGTTTACTGCCGCCATCAGCAGCCGTCTGGATAGCTTCACGAGCATGCCTGATGTTCTGTTCCTTGTCTGCGCAAATCGAGAGCTGGCAAACGGCGAGCTTGAACTGCCAGGAAAACCAAAATAATGTGCGGATGGCACTAAAAATTCCACTCACCTTGCTCCTGCACGCGTGCTGCTCACTACTCAAAACACCCCCGTTGGATCTCGTCCTGCAATCCAAGGAACCTCTTAAAACAAAACGAAGTGGCTATAGAGAGTATGGCGACCACATTCCCTGTGGCCATGGTAGCCTTGCCACCTAGTCGATGGGAATCCCCACTGTATCCGAATTGCCGCGTCCAGGTAAAGCAACAACACCACCACAACCAAGTAGCAGTTGACTCTCGTCTTAAGCCATCCTCGAGTTCCTTGCGAGCAGTCCAGACGGTCGACCAAAACTGAGAATGGAGGTCCGAGCTTGAGGAATGGTTTGGGCGGGAAACAGTAGTGAAGTGGCAGCACTTGAAGATATACAGGATCTTGTTTGCTCAACCAGATCAGACTCCACCGACCAACCTCTCGAAAGCACCAAAAGTTGATGCAGGTTTGTACCTGTGCGGAGATCATCGAGTCTGGAGCTGCTGAAGCGCCCCTTTCAGATTCAGAACTGAATGTTAAGGGAAAGTGAAGCTCGAGTTACAAACTTTTATTGCCATACCTCCTACACATACAGAACAACACGCCCATCCTCTCCAACAGTTGCCAGCAAACGCGAAAACATTGTAGTTTTTACTTGTACAATTTTCGATTCTATATTGCACTTGCATATTCGGAAAACAAGAATCTCATACCTTGTTCAAACATTTCAACCACTCTTTTTCCGGTGGAAATTCCCAAAGAAAAACTTGCCTCTCGTCAGTGCCAGCAACCCCATAACGTCCCATGACGGCTGCTGAGGATGTTCTGCAATCGAATGTTATGAACAAAAAACGTTCAGTAGATTTTCATACATGTTACGAGGCATTATTCTCTAGCAGGGCCATTCTCCAGTGGTTCTGATGTTTCGCATCCTTTGACATTGGTCAGAAGACAGACACAGCAGTCTCGATCTCTGAAATCATCCACCAAAGAAAGGTCTACGATGTGAATGTTTGAAAAGGTATATCTTGAAATGTGGCATGAAGAAAGTAGCTGTTTTGGAGATATTCCAGTAAGATGTAAAAAGAGAGTGGGTTTCTTGGACGACTGCAAACCGAAGATAGAATACCAGATTGCAAAGTAGCCATCCGTGTCACATCCAAGAACAAGGTGAGGTCCTTGAGGAACGATGGCTAGCTTTAAAATGCTCCAGAAAGTCTTGCGGTTATATCTTGCAGGAGGGAGATCTACCTTCATCTCCAGCAGCGACCGACGGCATCTCATTGAGGCAGTCGCAAAAAGTTCAGCCTTCAGATCACGTTCAGCAAGAGAAACCACCCGCACTATGTTCAACTGACTGGGAAGCTCGGGGCTATGAACAGCAAAAGTTGAAGGCTGTCGCCGTCTGGAGTGAGTTGAATTCCAAACTCCGCTTGCAGCTACAAGAAGTATCTACTACGAATACGTGGACCAAATTGCCGGAAGCTGATCAAAATGATCCCGTAGCGAACGATTTGGAGAAGCAGTCGAGAGTAACTACTGGCTTTAGTTCCATCAGCAAGCGGCTTACTAGCTTGGATATGCTAAAACCCGTCGCTGCTTTTGAGCACGAACTTTCATTTCTTTGCAGGGCACTTAACGCAAGGAGTCAGGAGGTGGATATCTGCATCTCTTATGGTCCTCTGGGGAAGCACGGTGTACACCTATATGTATACCGTGTTTCCCTTGACAACAACTTGCTATCGGAGGGAACGTTGCTACAGTCCTTTTCACTGGATTCTTACGAAAATTTTGGAGCAGACTATCTGCAGGTTTGTTCTGTGTTTCTTTCTTCTTGGTACATTTGACTTACATTATTTTTGCTGATGGAACCAGACTTGTAACCTGAAGCATTGTTGGAAGCATGCTTTACTTATTCTGTCAAAGTGTTTTCCGCCACGTATGCGGGATTGTCTAGATCAAGTCTTCAGCTGAAGGCTCCGGTGGTAGCCTTTCAAGTGTATCCGAACCATTGCTGTCCAAATCATGACAAGATGTTGAATGATCATCCAAAGCATCGCCTGTGGTGATCGTCGAATTCTTTCGGCAGTCTCAAGTTGCTTTACCAAGAGCTGGCTGGCACTGTGACTTGTTCAAGCTTATTGGAGCTAGTCAGCTTGTTCGCGATGACATCGTTGGAACCAGCGCCTGTGAAAGGTATTGACTTCGGGTATAAAGCATTGTTGGGAGCTTGTTCAGCCGAAGTGTTCCATATTCAACTGTCTGTCATGCACGCTGCATCAAGTGACTTGACATGTCCATCCTGGAACTTTTCGTCAGTAGTGTTGGAGATATACGCTCTATGAGAGTCTACGTGGCATGAGTTGCCACATCACTGTAGGATAGCCACAACTGTTGATCATGTATATATGATAAAGCAGAGTGAGAGAGTCATCCACCATTGTTTTGCTTCTGCGCATCTTCTTCTTTCAAGCAGAAGGCTCCGCTGGGAAAATGAGATCACCATAAGTTGGCAAGGAAGAATACTTTACCCCGACCACAAAAATTCCCGCGCTGAGTATGCATGGCGAGGAGCACGTAAGACGCAGCGTCGCCGGGATCCAACTCCCATGCGACATGGTCCGCGGGGCTCACCTCCTCGTGTGCGTCACGGCTCCAGCGGCATACTGTGGAGCAGCGGGGGTGGCTGAGACGCGAGCACGGGGTGGCGGTGGAGAGCGAGCACTACGGGTTTGTGGTGAAGCTGCTCCGGCGGTGTGGAGGGCATAGAACATCCCCAGCTCGAGCAGCCCGGCGTGGGAGCATGATGCGAGCACCCCGACAGCGTCACTCCATTCGGGGAGATCCCCTCCAGCTCCATCTGGTGGATCAGCGTGAGGGCCTCGGACCCATCTCCGTGCTGCGCGCACGCTGCCACCATCCTAGAGACTAGATCCTTCTCGCGGTTCTTCTCGAACAGCATCCCATGGCGTGCAAGCTCGCGAGTGCGGACTCCACCGCTGGAGTGGCTCGAAAGCTCGGGTGTGGATTGCCAAAATCCGCGAGAGCCGACGGTGCCGCGAGCGCGCTCATGATCGTGGCCTTGTGTGGGCGAGAGTTCATGTCGCGGTACGTAACGATGTCGTCTTTGGTTTTGAATTTTTCTTTCTATATATTGAATTTTGTGGTGGAAGGATGTTTTTTCGAAAATGTCTTCCACCTGAATGAAGTTTTCTGGAAGAGAAAAGCCCCTTCATCAACTTTATCAGTGCTCTCGTTCTATTCATTTTTCTATTCTTCATATGCTGTTCATCCAGTATCATTGTTCTCAATACCGATTTCTGGAAAAGCAAAAAAATAAAAATTAACTTTAACTGTTCTTGAAAACTTGGAAAACGATATCCATACTGCTGGTTTTAATATCCCACTAAAAATTTTTTCCCGATTAAATCGCCGCCGATGCCAGAAGATCTTCTTTTCACTCCACAATGCCTTCTATTTGCCCTTCTCGCCAAGACCTCCCCACTACCACAATGCTTGACGATCCAGGGATGCGCAAGCACAGCATCCAGAGTCACCCTCTTCCTCTGCTCCACAGCTAGCATTCCCTGGATGAGATCCTCTGCTTCACACGATGCAAAACCACTCGGGAATGCTCCGGCTCTCAAAAAATCAAATTCGACTCCCGCTCGATACCCTCTCAGCAGCTCGTACGCAATGACTCCCAACCCCCACACGTCCACGGCCTCCGTGTAGCTTGCTCGTGGTCCTCGAGCCCCATCACTCTTCACTGCTACCATCTCGGGTGCCATGTACTTTGCTGTTCCACAGTACTGCCACATATCCCACTGCTTGTCTGTGGCCATGCCAAAATCTCCAATCACCACTTCGTCCACTGCAGTGGCATTGAGCCTCTCAAAGATGTTATGAGGCTTGAGATCTCGGTGGACAACCCCTCTCGAGTGCATCCACTTGAGCGTTTCTGCTAGCGTTTTAATAGTTTTGGCTGCTTCCTCCTCAGTCACTGCCCTGCCTTGGATCAATCGCTCTGCCAAGCTAGGGCCGCAAAGCTCCATAACAATGGTCCCATAGCACCTCCCGGCCTCTCTCTCCCTCACGAAATCCTCAAAGGCGACGACTCCAGGGCAGACGCAAAGCTTGGACATGAGCCGAGCTTCGTTCTCGGCATTCCACATCGATTCAACCAATTTCCCCGCATACTTCTTGCCAGCCTTGTGACGAGCACTTAACAAGTAGACCTGCCCTTGGCCGCCAGATCCCAGCTTCTCACCCCGCCTGTACAGCTTGAGGAGCTCACGACAATCGTCGTCCCCAAACTCGCACGCCACCATCGCTCGCCAATTTTTTGACCTAGCTTCTCCCTAACGGGTAAACATAGACGGTTGGGATCGCGTTTGATCGACGGTGACGAAGTTGTAACACGCATTAGAGGAAGAAGAGTTTTTATTTAAATGTGGAATATTTCATATAGCCATGCTTCTCTACAAAATTGTTGCATTCTACGCATGGTTACTCACATCCTTTGTTTTACACGCCGTGTTGGGAGTGGGAGTTTGCCGCAGTGGCTCCTGCCGGATCAATCGCCCTCAAAGCACCACCCAGCTCGCAAGGGACCAGCGGGATCAGAGAGTTCACCACGTCTCCAATCAAAGGCCTGTAGCTTGGCTCCGACTGGACGCATAGAACAGCAACAGCAGCGACCTACACACAAATCTTGCGTTAGAATCATCAAGTCAGCCAGCACTGGCAACAAACAAACCAAAACCGAAAAGAGGAAGCGCACTTACTTGGAAGAGTTGCTTCAAGTTGACAGTATCCTTGATCGCAGCATCCACAATGAGGGGAAGCCTGGTGCGGTCGGTCAGTTGCGGCGTGGCCTGCAAGTAAGTGGCAGTAGGTTGATGCACAGAAAGTCTCCGCAAGAGGAAAATCTCGAGACGTCATACCCATGTCACAAGCGACTGGCACCCTGTTGGCATTGAGACGTCAATGGGTTTTCTCCCGGTGATGAGCTCCAGAAGCACAACGCCAAATGCATAGACGTCACTCTTCTCCGTGAGAATTCCTGCGTTTTCAAAGGAAGGTGAGGTGACAGCGAAAGAAAGATAAAAAAATTCACAAGGCTTGACCAGTGAGGATGTATTCTGGAGCAACGTAGCCAAATGTGCCTTGCAGTTGAAGGCTGCCGGCGCCTTCTTGTACCATCAGAGCAAGACCAAAGTCGGATAGCTGCAAGTAAACAAACAAGGCAAGAAAATGTAAACATATAGCTTCGAATTGACATGGCGACGAACCTTTGCATTGAAGTCTTCGTCTAGGAGTATATTAGAAGATTTGAAGTCCCTGTGGATGACTGGTGGATCGCAGTGATCGTGAAGGTATTCAAGTCCTCTGCACTTTACGAATAAACAAAGTCATGCCGGAAAGCGAAGTTCAAATTGGAAACCAACCTGGCTGCGTCAAGGGCAATTTTGAGGCGTAAATGCCAGGTGAGAGCAGCTCCTTGGGCAGGCCCTGGAGAAAGCCACGAAGTTAAAGGAAATGGTACGAGGAGCTCAGTCCTCTCACCTTGAAGCTGGTCCTGCAGTGAACCATTTGTCATCAACTCATAAATGAGAAGTCGGTCTTCTCCTTGCGAGCTGAAACCAAGAAGAGCTATTAAGTTGTGATGATGAATTCGCCCCATGAGATCAATCTCGGCCTGAAAGAAAGCAGAAAGAGCCACAGCAACCATCAGAGTCGTTCGGACAAATAATGCACGATACCAACCCGGAACTCTTCGTCAGCCTGATCATTTTCGGTGGATAGTTTCTTCACTGCGATGGCATGATCATCATCCAGCTGGGCCTTGTACACTCGAGCAAATCCACCCTCCCCGATGAGATTCTCCTCGCTGAATCTGTCAGTGGCACTTTCCAGCATTTTGTAATCCATAACTTGAGCTGGCTTTGCCGGTTCATCGGAACGCTTCGTTTTGATTTGAACTGGACCCCCACCGCCATCTACATTTGCCAGAATCCAGTCAGCTCTACCTTCACAATCAGGAAAAGCTTACGATAAGGGGGCAGAGGCGTTGGAGGGTCGGAATAGCCTTCATCTTTCCCAAAAACTTTCGCTAGCCGGGGTCGGAGAGAATCCAGCGAAATGTACGAAGACAAAAGTATAGAGGCACAAACCAGCGTGGGCACGAGGATGATTGCGGCAAGGACACCCTTTCTCATGTGATGGCCACCACCATCACTGTGTCCGCTATCACTAGCACCGATCGGAGCTGGAAGAAAAGAAAAGAAAAGAAATTTTGGATAAGGATACATCGACCTTCGCAAAAGAAAAAAAAATAGAATCACAAACCTTGCAAAGTACCCCCAGATGGACTAATTGCCGAGGCTTCTTGTGGCAGCGGAGAAGGTCCAGAGGCTGGAGAGAAATCTGGTGAAAACGCCCCATCCTCGAGAGACCTCCGTAACAAGCCGGTGGGATTCTTCACGAACTCGGTGCCATAGGGTAGCAGTGGTCTCAGCCCGCTTGCCAAATGTGCCAAGAACAAGAAGCCGATGAGCACTCCGGCGCTTCTTCCCCACCACAGCCTGCTGCTTTCCATCGAGATCTCGATACTCCTCCAGGGTCATCGATCCATGGCCAGCGGCGCCTTAACCATCGCTGGGAGCGATATTTCGCTACGCCGTGCTTACCTCGATCAATGCCGCTAGCTCACACACAGATCGATCGCCATAGCTCCTTTCCAAATGCTACAGCGTCAGCGATCCGCTAGAACAAGCCGCCGCCCTCCGGCGCCTCCACGACGCGCGCCATAGCATCGACCAGAGCTCCTCGAAGGAAGGAAGAGAGAAGAAAAAAAGAATCAAAGCCAGCGCCCAGCGCTCCTCCACTTTAGTTTCAAAAAACAGGGGGGAGGAAGCACCGGCGCCACCGGTCACCGCCCGTCTGGGCCAATGCCACCCACCGGCTACTGCCGGTACTGGCTGTTGGAGACCCGTCACGGACGTCACCAAGGAAGATTCCGGCATCTTGCAAATACACGTAGCTTTCGACGATCATCGCTATCGTCCGCTCAATGTTTGATGATGTTCCCTTTATTTTACTCAACCCGTGCAAATTGTTTGATCAATTTCTTTGCAAAGCATTGGTCGATGCCAAAAAAGCTATGGTTCACTGTTTCACTTAATCTCAATCGCTTTTCAACGGCTAGGATGGGCGGCATTGCCAGCCAGCGACGATCTCGGCCGTTGCTGAGGAACTCTCCCCCTCTTATTACACGCTGCCGTTACCAGCTCTCCAGGGAATCTCTGGGAATCTTGGCGGGATCCGATCGGATCGATCCAAAACCAGCACGCATTTATAGCGAGAGCTTCTTCCCGTTTCGCATTTAAGCCTTTTCGATCGAGAAAACGAGCGTGCTCTTCTTTCTTTTTTCCGCGCTGGCTCTTCATGTATAGTAGTAGCTATGTGTTGTAAAGTCGCCATCTTCGCATTCAATCCATGGCTCCCAGAAGAACTGAGCTGCGCTATCCAAACTGTCCACTCGACAGTCTCTTTGTCGCAACTTATCAAGGCTCGCTTTCGTTCACCTTTTCCTATACTGGTAGAAGAAAAGAGAGAGAGCAAACTCAATCACTCGCAAATTAGTCTCTTCGGTTAGTGATACAAACCAGAATAAAAGAGAAAAGAGAAAAACGAAAAAAAAAAGGACGTACAAATAAGCTGCTAGAGCTACCTATCAGTGCAGGCAGCAGCCACAAATGCTGGACAACGCTCCTGAAAACAAACGTAGCAAAGTCCACAGTTATTGAGATCAAATGCAGTAGAAGAACTAGAGCTTACTTTCAGTAGAACATGTGTTGCTGGCCCATGGCTGCCGCCAACGAGGCTGCTGCCGCTGCAGCACTCGGCTGGATGCCATCAAAAACTCGAGAACCGCTTGTTCCTTGCTGAGGAAGTGGTAACAGCGCCTGTCCCGTTCCACTGGATTGGCTTAGCCTTTGGTACGCCAGCAAGTCCGCCGCGGAGTATGCTTGATTCATCCCAGCAGCCATCAAGCTTTGCAACGGGAGAGCAACTGGTGGTGGTGGAGGCAAAGGATTCGACGATGCTCCAGCTGGTGTAGGCTTGCTTCCCCATGAGCACTGTACGAGAAAACGAAGATTGTGAGACGCCGAATGAAAACATTTTTCTTACTTTGACGGACTTCCCGCAGATCACTCTCCCGTTTGCTGCCTGAATAGCGTAAGCTGCCTCTTCGTGTGTTCTATAGCGTACAAAACCGAAGCCTTTCTCTTTCTGCACCCTTACGTCTTCAATCACTCCAACACCTAAAGCATGGAATTGTCTATGTAACTCTGTCTGTGTCACCTGGGAAAATTAAAAACACAAAACGTCTTAACCACTGAACTGTTATGTCCTTCAACTGACCTCGTGCGCTAAATTACCAACGTATACTGTCGTAAACTGTGGATTGTTTTCAGGACCATCTAATTGCATGGCCCCATCCTCGTGTTGTTCATCGTGATTGGGCTCTTGTTTCATTTGTACTTGAACAACAGCAACCTGCTCAGGTACGCTAACAGGTCCTGGTGTTGGTACGTCCTCCTGCGATCCTGTGCTTTTTGTTGCCCAGTTACAGCGAATAGGACGACTGCCAAGCCACTTCCCTACATAAAATAAACGAGGCTATAAAACCATTCAAAGTAATGAATCTCTTCCGCATACCATTCATCTCATTGATAGCCCTTTCTGCTTCCTATAATAACAAAAAAATTGAGCGGTTGTAAGCCGTTGAGCATGGAGTGTAAGCACCTGTTTACTCCTGAACGACACAAAACCATATCCACGAGAGCGGCCAGATCGTTGATCCCACATAACCCGAGCGTCCCTGCGAATTAAAAGTTATACAAAGATGGAATGGAGAAAACCATATTAACACTTACGAACAACCAGGATACATGAAGAAAGCAGCGTAGAGTGTTGCATCTGTGACCTCAGGACTAAGATCACCCACAAAAATATTGTAATGTCCTGGACAGACGATAATCTCAGAGAAATGAAAACAAAATTAAAAGTACAACCTGTAGTATCTTCTCGCTGCCCACTGGCATAAGCCCAATTCACCTTTATGGACTGCCCAAATCTGTTCCATCAAGTTTTCGTTTAGTGCCTGCAAGAGGAAGAGAGACGCTTACATTAGCTTGCCATTGAGGGTAATGATCGCAGCGGCAGCTGATCTGTGATCGAAGTAATCGACAAAACCATAAGAGGACTGCCAAGCAAGGTAACGAAATACCGTTAGTGAGAAGGGCAAGATAGAGACAAAACCAGAACTAACTTTTTCTTTCTTTATAAGCTTGCAACCTTCGAGAGGCCCAACTGTTGCAAAAACCTCCGCAAGCAACGCTTCCGTTACTTTGATGTGAATGTTACCAACGTATCTGCAGCAGGAATGAACATCAGACTAGAAACAAAATCATTCCGCAACCAAAGCAATGACGGCCCAAGCTCAGCATAGTTTTTAAGTTAATAAACAACCAAAAGGAAAAAAGAAAAAGGAAATTGAAAAAAGAAAACAGATACCTGAATTGGTACAACAAAAAAGAAAAAAGAAAAAAAGAAAAGCACTCACACACTGCGACAAGAAGTTGCATCAAACCCTGGTGGCAGATTTCCACTTGGAATTGGCTCAATCTGCAAAAAAAACGATGAAAGGAAATGCAGAAAAAAAGAAAGAAAAGAAAAAAAGAAAGAACAAAACCAATACTAAAAGAGCTCGCTTTCCTCTCTCGGGGAAAGGAAAACGAAGAACAACGAAGGAAAAAAAAAACTTAACAGAACCGAAAGCAGTGAAAAAAAAAGAACGAAAAACGATTACCAAAGACAAGAATCTCGTTGTACCTTAGCCTGCAACAGAGTGGATCGTCATAAAAACATAGCGAGAAACAATCAAGCACGAAGCCAAGAGCTATGGCAACTAAAATTCCAAAAAAAAGAGAGAGCCAAGCATCAGCACGTACCTGGGACATGGCCGTGATGAGACCAGGATGAAGGAATGGCTGCTGCTGCTGGAGCACCGCCGCCTGCTGCATTAGCGCTTGCTTCCATTGCTGCAACTCTAACTGTTGCTGCTGGAGCTGTAACTGCTGCTGGGCCGCCTGGGCCGCGGCTACCTGTGCCTGCTGGGGCTGGCTCTGCGATTGCTGCGCTTGTGACACGGAGTACATGGCAAATAGCCGCCGATCAAACCCTATGGAGTGGAAGACGCTTCCCCGAGCGCGCTAGCACGGATACCCCATGATCGGAATGCGGAATGCGATTCTTACATGCTGCCGCGCCGAGAAAGCCCCCAAATCTGCGGCCGCGGAGCCGGGCACTCGAGGCCGTCGAGAGAATTTCCCTGCATCGCAATTAGGGTTCTTCGCTCTTCCGGCAATGCCGACCCAGAGGAGGATATGTAACAGAAAGGTTTCGAAAATTTTGGTCATACGGTAAATATAATGTGTACGGAAGAACTAGGGCAGACGTGGTCGCAAGCGTGGCCACGTGGAGGAAAAACCCAAGATATAGGGTTTTATCGGCGATGGCGGCATTTCTTTCTCTCCCGCCATCGAGGATCTCCGCGAGCAGCCTAGGGTTTCGTTCAAGCGACGCTGTGCGATCGCAATGCGCTCCAAGGCGGAGGTACAAGCGCGCGTCTCGTCTTCCCCTTCACACTCCCGATCACTGGGGATTGGCGGTGCAGGAGCCCGAGATTGAGAGCAGTGAGGAGGGATGCCGGGAGCAAGTGATGGATTTCCTCCGCGGCGAGGGTATTTCCGGCGGCGACATCGACCAACTCGATCTTCCACTCTCGGTCGACGTGGTGCGAGAGCGGCTGGAATTCCTTGCAAGCATTGGGCTAGAGAAGGCGCACATCTTGAGGTATCCAGTAGTTCTTACATGTAGTGTTAAACGCAACATGGTTCCAGTGATCGACTACCTCGACAAGCTGGGATTTACTCCGGAGGAGCTTCCGGCGTTGCTGACGCAGTTTCCGATGATCCTCTACTCCAGCATCGCGATAGATTTGACGCCGATCGTGGACTACTTGCTAGGCTATGGGATCTCCCTGGAAAATATTCCAAAGGTTCTACTACGCTACCCGGATGTTCTTGGTTTCAAGCGAGAAGGGACCATGAGCACATCGGTGGCATACCTGGTGAGCATTGGAGTAAACACTCGACAGATTGGGCCGATGCTTACGCGGTTCCCGGAACTTCTTGGCATGAGAGTCGGGAACAACATAAAAAGGAAGGTGGATTTCTACCGTGGTCTGGGGTTTACAAAGGAGGAGATAGCGAGGTTGCTAGAGAAGCATCCTTACGTACTGGGTTTTGATTTGGAGGAAAATGTGAAAGCAAAGGTGGAGTGTCTACTACAGGCAGGGATCCAAGAGAAAGAGCTGCCATCGTTTATAGCTCGATTCCCGGACGTGTTTGAGCTCGACTTGAGGGCTAAGCTCGCAGAGAAGACGGCCTGGTTGACGAATGAAATCTTCTTGCGACCGTCAGACGTTCCTCGAGTGTTTGAGAGGCTGCCTCAGATGCTTGTGATCAACGAAAAGATGGCCGGGGAAAAGGTGAAGTTTCTGCAAGGAACAGGAATCAGCGCTGGTGACATAGCAAAGATGGTTGTCGATTGTCCACAGATTTTGGCGGTCAAGCTGGAGGAAACGTTGAAGCCGAACCTGGCTTTTTTCCAGCAGAAGATGAGAAAGCCATTATCAGAGCTGCTGGCATTTCCCGTCTACTTGACTTACGACCTTGCACGGAGGATAAAGCCCCGGTACCGGATGGTAGAGAGGAAGAAGATCAATTGCAGCCTTGCCTGGTTCCTGGCTTGCAGTGACGACAAGTTTAAGCGGAGGATGAGTGTCCAGTTTATGGAAGCTCCTCCTCAGGCTCATACGGGCAGTGCAGTTTTCGACGAAGAGGATGACGACGACGATTCTGAGATGGTTGAGGACACAGGTGATATAGGTGACGGCGATGGCAATGACAGTAGTGGAAGTGAAGGAGGAGAACAGACTGTTCAAGCATCTGTCCAGCGCAAGGATTCAATAAGTCAACAGGCAAGCTCAAGGTAAGCGATTTTAAGCCATTGATTGTGGTGGTTGAGGTTTTTGCTTGTTTGTGCAGGGCGAGTGAATCTTGAATTCCGCCATCAAGGTGAGAGTCACGTTTCTGATATTGCTCAGACACGCCATTGCCATGCTCCGCAGGGTACGCACACGCTGCTAGCTACACATCAACGACCGGTCCTCCCGTTCCGTTTCAATAACTGGGGACACCAGGTGGCGAGATCCTCAAGATGGCACTCGCTCTTTTGGGAATTCTGGCTCTGGTCATCTCCATAGCAGCGTCGGCAACATGGTCGGCTATCACTCGGAAGTCGGGCATAGATCCAGTGGCGTCGCACTGGCCTCCAACTCCAAAGATGGAAGGGGTGTTCGCGACCAACACACTGCTCCAGGAATTGGATGAGCTTGGTGTGGGAGAGCTTCCTGGTCCCGAAGATATTGCTGTGGACGATAACGGCGTACTGTATACCGGCTGCGCTGACGGATGGATCAAGAGGATTTTTCCCGAGACTGGTGAGGTCCAGAATTGGGTACAGGTCGGAGGCCATCCGCTTGGACTTGCGTGGGGACATCATGGAAATTTGCTTGTCTGCGAACCAACCCGGGTGGGTCCTAACTGTTTGACAAATCCGACTGACTCTCTTTTCTGGCAGGGACTGCTGAATATTACTGCTGATAAGGCTCTTGAAGTTCTCTCCAATGAAGCCGACGGTGTCAAATACAAGTAGGTGTTTGTGTTGTTTGGGACGTCCTTGTTGAGCTTTATATTTTTGGTGAACAACAGGCTAACTGACGGACTGGACGTTGCAAAAGATGGCTCCATATACTTCACGGATGCAACGCACGAGTTTGGCATGAACACCTCTGACTTCGATATTCTTCAGGGTCGCCCGAACGGCAGACTTTTGAAATATGACCCCTCAACTCGCACCACAACAGTCCTGCGCAAGAACATGTATTTTGCCAATGGTGTTGCACTCTCTGCGAAGCAAGACTTTTTAGTGGTGTGCGAGACGTCCATGTAAGTTGTTGGTCCATACTTTTGAGCAGGCAGCTTACGTTCGTCCTCGTTTGTAGGGTGAGGTGCATGAAGTACTGGTTGCAAGGTGAAAAAAAAGGAACCATGGAAGTTTTTATCGATAACTTGCCTGGACATCCAGACAACATTAGACACAACGGCCGAGATAGATTCTGGATTGGATTGATAGCAGTAAGTTTGCTCTATATTTCATAACATCCAATCAGACTTCATGTGGACACTGACTTCAGGGAAGGACAAGGCTGACTGACACTTTAATGAAGATAGCACCACTGAAGCACATCTTGGCCCTTCCGGGCGTGCTGCAGAAGATCTCCACGTCCTCAAAGATGGCCAAAGTTCTAGCAGTTGGCGAAGATGGGGTGCCGCTGGCATTCTATGAAGATCCGACAGGGAAGTCGATAGCCTTGGTGACGACGGCCTTGGAAGTCGGCGATTATCTCTATCTGGGAAACTTGGCCAGGAACTACGTTGGCAAGTTGAAGCTTCGGCAGCTTTAGTCACGCCCGACGTGGCCACCAATAAAGTGTGTTGCTTTTTCGAGCGCTTCTTCGAGACGGTCGTCGAGCGACAAATAAGTTTCGATCTTGACAGTGTTGCACAGGTGCAGCAATTTGGACGACTTAAGGCAAACTCGAGCACGAGGTAAGCTAAGCTCTTTGTCGTGGACTCATCTGTCCTAATAGGTGGGAACTGGAGGGCCACGGAAACGAAGGAGAATGAAGACCAGGGGACTTGTGAGTAATTTGGTTTCTCTTGTGCTTACTCTAGTCGCATCTAGCTTAGTTTCCGGAGTAGACTGCAAGAAGAGGGCTAATGGCACAGTCGTTGTATACTGGGGAACTTACGAGAAGGAAGGCAGTCTCAAAACAGCCTGTGAGACGGGGAACTACGGCATCGTCGTGCTCAGCTTCCTCAGCGTGTTTGGCGACGGGAGAGCTCCAAAGCTGGACCTCGCTGATCACTGCGGGGGTGTCAACGGCAGTGCCATCAACGGCAGCGCTATCAACTGTGCTCCAGTCGGACAAGACGTAAAGTTCTGCCAGAGCAAAGGTGTCAAGGTGTTCCTCTCGCTCGGTGGTGCCGACGGCAACTACAGCATTGTCTCGGACAAAGACGCCATCGCCGTATCGGACTATCTGTGGAACAACTTTCTGGGAGGAGGAGCAGGAAACAGCAGCTCCAGGCCTCTCGGCGACGCAGTGCTGGACGGGATCGACTTCGACATGGAGATGACCTCGACTCAAACCGGCTACGCTCAGCTTGCCAAGCAGATTAAGCTCCGCTCCACCAAAGACAGGCCGGTGCTCTTGTCCGCAGCCCCGCAGTGCCCGTTCCCGGACGAGTTCCTCGGCCCGGCTCTCAACACGGGCGTGTTCGACTACGCCTGGGTCCAGTTCTACAACAATCACGACTGCCAGTACAACCCAAAGAAGACTCTGGACAACGTGTTCGCGGCTTGGCACAAGTGGACGACCAAAGTTCCAGTGAAGAAGGTCTTCTTCGGCCTGCCGGCGAGCTTGAGCGGCGCCACCGACAGCCCCTCCACCAAGGACGGATACATGCCCGCGAAAGTTCTCAAGCAACAGGTTCTTCCGAAGATCAAGGAGTCGAGCAAGTACGGCGGCGTGATGTTGTGGAGTTACTACTACGATTTCGTCAAGCACGACGGGAGAAAGGAGCCGTACAGCACCACGATTAAAAACGCTGTATGATATATGGTGCTTTTGTGCTTGTAATTATTATTATTATTACATGTTTTAAATCCTTTATTGCCCACCTAGAAGCGGAGGAAACGTTTTAAACGTGCCAGAATACCAAACGGAATGTTTGCTGTCGACCAGAATATCCAGCTCCTCCTAACGGATTGTTCACTCACTCGTAGAAGTCGATCCTCTCGCGTCGCGAGTGCCAATGGGATTCCTTCTTGTGGCGATTCTAGCTGTGATCATCGGCATAGCCGCATCGGTGATATGGACGGCAATCGTCCGCCGCGCGGGGATTGATCCACTGCCCTCGGACTGGCCTCCAACTCCAAAGAGGGAAGGATTGTTCGCGGTGAACACAGTGCTCCAACAGGCGGAGGTGATTGGCGTGGGAGAGCTTCCCGGTCCCGAGGACATTTCCTTGGACGACGACAATGGCGTGCTCTACACCGGCTGCTCCGACGGGTGGATCAAGAGGGTGTCTCGAAAGACTGGCGAGGTGGAGAACTGGGTGAATGTGGGAGGCCCTACGCTTGGGGTCGTGCGCGGGCAACAAAAGAATTTGCTCGTCTGCGTGCCAGGCAGAGTTCTGTTTGATTTGACAAATCCGAATTGGGATTGAGACCGCTCATCCTGTTTCTCTCGCGCAGGGGCTGCTCAACATCACTCGGGATAAGCGCGTGGAGGTTCTCTCGAGCGAAGCCGATGGTGTCAAATTCATGTGAGTGTCAGATCTCTTTTATCGTCCTTGTGAAGAGGACGATGAGGTGATTTCAAGAGCTTTGTTTCCATCCTTGTTGATTCGAGAGCTTTGTTCCCATTGCTGTGATCTCGCTGGATCTGTATGTCCGGCACAGGGTGGCTAATGGATTAGACGTTGCGAAGGATGGCACCATCTACTTCACTGATGCGACGAGCAAGTTTCCGCTGGAGAAGGCCAAACTGGACGTCCTCCAGTGCCGCCCAAACGGCAGGCTCTTGAAGTACGACCCCGCGACTCGCACCACCACAGTCCTGCGCAAGAACATGTTTTTTGCGAATGGAGTCTCGCTCTCTGCCAAGGAGGACTTTCTAGTGGTGAGCGAGACATCCATGTAAGTCATCTCGATCATGCGCTGGCCACTGAAGCTTAATTTCGCGCGTCCTGGCTTTCCAGGGTGAGGTGCATGAAGTACTGGCTGAAAGGTAAGAAAGCGGGAACCATGGAGGTGTTCATGGACAACTTGCTGGGGCAGCCGGACAATGTCAAGCGCGATGGCCATGGTGGATTCTGGATAGCATTGGTGTCGGTAAGTTCGATCCAAGCATTAATCCAACTCGTGAGGCTCATAAGCATTCCTGGATTGATCAGGGGAGGACATGGCTGAGCGACATGATCTTGAAAATACCAGCATTGAAGTACATCATAGCGCAACCCGAAGTTCTCGATAAATTCTTTGGGAATGCGAGGATGGCCAAGGTATTGAGAGTGAGCGAGGATGGGCGACCGCTGGCGTTCTATGAGGATCCAACGGGGAAGGTGGTGGGATTTGTAACGACAGGCTTGGAAGTTGGAGATTATCTTTACCTTGGAAGCTTGGAAAGGAAATTCATTGGCGGGCTAAACCTTCAGGAATTACAAGTAACTTAGTAAATAGGTGGTATGATATTTGAAACATATAATGAACAATAACTTTCTTTTAAAAATAAAAAATAAAAAACATTAAATCCAGACCATTTAAAGAATTTTATTTTGTAAATCCATAGTAAAATTAATAAAATCTAGCATTAAATATATTTTTATTGAGTTAATATACTTTTTTTAGTTATAATTCTTATAATATTAAAAAGACATCACCTTCCATTAAAATTTTGAGTTGATTAATTCAACTGTTATAATATTAAACTTATCACCTTTCCATCAAAATCTTTAATAGGTTTATATATGTTGTAATGAAAAACATTAGAACAAATATTTTTTTATAAATAAAATTCATTATGTGAGGGCCAAGTGTATGTTGTATACTAATATTAACATAATGGGATTTTAGTAGCTGTCAGATTGATTTCAATCCAGACCACTCGTTCCTGTATATAGATTAGGGTTTTTGGGCTAATTGATATGCATATTTTCTATATTCCCTTTCCATATTCCAAACACTCATATTGGTAGAGGTGAGGGGCACTTTTGATTATCCCTGAGAAGTGTTTAGATTTGGGATTTTGGTTTAGACCTAGCTTTTGCATTGTTTAGATCTAGGTTTTTCCATTTCCTTTCTTTTGTTCTTTTTTTTCAAAATTTTGGTTTAGATTTAGCTTTTTGCATTGTCTAAATTTACCATTTCCTTCTAACTTTTGTCATTTCTCTTTTGCTCTTTTTTTTTTTGTTCATCTTCATGGCAGATCAACAATCTCCTCTTTTGACTTTGGAGTAGCAATTGGTACAATTGCTTGATGCTATGCGCTTGCAATTGAACAACTAAACTCAATTGATGGCAGCATTCACGGCACATGGTTACAACTCCTCCTACTTTTGGTACCAATCCTCGCATTCAATCGGAGTTCTTTTGCGGGAATCCTGGGGATGATGTGTACTATTGGTTCGATCACTTCATGGTGATTGCCACATATCATTCTTGGGATGATGTTTGATGTTTGTGTGAGTTTCCCACGTGTCTCCAAGGGATGGCATTGCAGTGGTATAATGGTTTGAGCGTAGCCACTCGTGTGTAAGCTATAAAATTTTCCTTTCCAATTTACCAGCTTACTTGTTTATCCGTCCAACACTGCCTTGGCTTTTAGCTAAGTTCTCTCACTAAGGTTCTCATCTATTGTACCAGTTCTTACTTGGTCCTACTTGGTTTTAGCTACTCACTGCACGAGCAATGGAGTGTTAGCCATCCATCCACGGATTCCCAAATCTCTCCCAATCCCCCTCCCCGGGTTAAATTGAACTTAAGGTTCGGCTACACTCTCTACAGGCACAAGTAGCCAAGCACACCAAGCTTCTAAGTTCCTAACATCCCTTGGTACAACAAGACTTGATCATGGGACCCACTAAATCTTAAGCCTTGGGTGCAACACTTGCTTCGGGACGCCAGAGCAAAACACTGTGGCCTAACAGCCCGATACGGGTACCTCAACCCCCCCCACTGCAATCAATTTCCTTTCTAGGAGTGGGAGTTGCTCTTGAGCACTTCCTTGGGTGGCCCCTCCGACGCCACTTAAGTCCATGCTCACTCCCACCCAAGGCCCCTCGGTCCTAGTCTCAACCTTAAGTCAGTTTGGAAGCACCACTGGAGAGTTCCTTTAAGACTACTTTCTGGACCTCACTATCCCTACTATACTTTTGGAACCCCCTATAGGCCCCCCCCCCCCAGGAGACACACACTTTGGGCTTTCACCCCTTGACCTGTATTAGTACTCAAACTTGGTCTAAGTCTCGGACTCGATCTCGGGACCCAATCTCGGACTTGACCTCGGACTTGGTCTTGGACCTGATTTTGGATCTCGGACTCTGTCTCGAACTCGATCTCGAACTCAGTCTCGAACTCAGTCTTGGAGTCGGCCTCGGACTTGATCCCGGACTCTATCTCGAACTCGGTCTCAAAGTCGGTCTTGGACTCGGTCCTATCCGATGAACTCTTTATCATTTCGGTCGTGCTTTTGGGGATCTTTTAGCTTACGACACCTTAGGGAATTTGTTCCTTACAACTCCACCACCCATAGAAGAAGTTTGATGCCCACATCAAACGTCTCTTTTTAATTCTACGACTTGTTGACCATGTCTCCAGAGGCATCCCCCCACTTAGTGGTGTGCCTAAGTTAACCTCCCCAGCTAAGAGCCCATGACAATGAAATAAAGGTGTCCCTATACCCCTCACCTCACCACGCCCTAATATGGGGTCAGGACTTGAACCCAACCTTGCTTTACTAGGGGGTTGGGACTTGAACCCAACCTCTGTAGAATACATCTATGGATTCGACATTTCCGTGGGGAGTTGGGTGTAGTTCCCTATGCTTGGTCGACATAACTAACCCATGCTAATTAGTTTATTTTCAGCGCGCCTTCGGGTCCTAACATATGCCATTGCTCAACTTCACAAATTGATACTTTTAATTGAACTTTGCGTAAGTACATAGAGTTTTGCCATGCAAAAATTCCTCTACTAAATTTTGTGCATTTGCAAGGTTCTCCTTTGGTTCCCATGTTGCTTCACAGTATAAAAATCCTTTCCACTTCACATGGAACTCTCTCACTTCGCATCTTTGTCGCTTGCTCTTGCATGCATTAAGGATGGCCTTAATTTCGTATTCCTTTTCCCCTTGGATAACCTCAAGTAAAGGTCTTACTTGGTCCTTGTGAAGCAGATCCTCAAAATATGGCTTGAGTAAGTTCATATAGAACATTAGGTGCATCTTCCCCATCTCTCGAGGAAGTCAGAGATGGTAAACCACTTTACCGATTCGTGCCTCAATTTCATAAGGCCCTATGAACTTATTTGAGGAACTCAAGATTAATTCATTTTATAGGAATACATGCATTTTTACCTTTGGGTCAATTTCCAGCTGATCCCACTTGGTAGCCTAAGGTTCATGGTGTTCAACCACACCTTCTCCCCAGCTTAAAACTCTACATCCTAGCATTTCTAGTTCGCGTACTTGGTTCACCTTTGTTGAGCACTTCTAGTTTGCGTACTTGGTTCGCCTTTGTTGAGCCTGTTCCAAGGAATCCCTCACTAGATTTCAAATGTTGAGTCTTTCTGCCGTGAATGCCTCCACTATGGGTAATTCTCCATGATACTTGGCCACACCGAGTTCCACAGGACCTTTAATAGTTCGCCCATTGATGACTTCCCATAGACTTACCCTGATACTCGAATGTGGTGAGTTGTTATAACACATTTCTGCAAGTCCCTAATGACTTACCTAATTAGTTTGGTCTCCCGAGACATAGCATCACACATAATCCTCCAGCTGCTTATTCACCCTTTCCGTTTGTCCGTCTGTCAAGAAGTGTTAATGCCATCAAACTTGACTTAATACCCAATACTTGTCTGTGGGTGATAGGCTGTGCTGAATTTCAACTTGGTGCAATACTGTTTCAGGAGAGTTCTCCAGAACCCACTGGTGAAGATCTTATCTCAATCTGAGATAATCTTTTCTGGCCTTACCCGCACTCGAACCACTTGTTTGAGGAACAATTTTGCCACACCTTCCGCATCCACTTTTGTTGTGGTGGGTATGAAATGTGCCATCTTTGAAAATCGGTCCACCACCACAAATACCGCATTGAACCCCTTGCTTGGAAGGAGGCCTGTGATAAAGTCTATCATAAGACATTTCCACGGACGATCTAGAATTGGGATGCTTTGTAACAAGCCCCCATTAGCCTTAGTCATGGCTTTGACTTGCTAATATGTTGGACATGTCTTTATATAGTTTTGGACGTCTTTAGCCATATCTGGCCAGTGATACTTTCTGTTAAGTAAGCCCATCGTCTTGGGCACTCTACCATATCCCGCAAGAGGTCCGTCATGATACTCTTTTAAGGCTACCTTCCTTAATTCCCCTTCTGAAACATACACCTTCATTTGTTTATAGTAGATGAGTCCATTGTGTTTTGCATAATCTACTTTCTCTTCTATTGGCAACTCACCTCTCTGGTGAGCTTCTCGCACCTCTTAGTTCCTTAGCAACACTTCTTGTGCTAGACCATCGCTCTCATATGTTGTCCGCATATCATCCTAAAAGGTTGTTGTTACGCTAGATATCGCCAACTTCAAGCTTGCTTTTCTACTTAGAGCATCTGCCACAATATTGTTCTTCCTAGGTTTATACAGAATCTCGCAATCAAACTCAGCCAAAGTGTTGGCCCACCGACCTTATTTCCCTCTTAGGTTGGGTTGTGATAAGAAGTGTTTCGTTGCTAAATTATCCGTGTAAATTTTGAAGTGCCTCCCAAGGTAGTGTCGTTACTCCTTGAGTGCCTTGACCACTGCAAATGCAGAAAACAAAGAGAAAAGCTAGTGAAAACGAAGAAAAGGCCTTAGACTGGCGTTAATTCAGATTGTGGAGAAATGGTAGAAGGCTAACCTATATATACTATAGGTTGATGAAGCTCCACCACTCTTGGATCGAGGACGGCTCGAGGATGGAGAAAAAGAATGAGGACTGAGACGAGAAGGATAGTAGCGGAGGAAGTCCTGAACAAAGCAGGAGAATGAATCAGGTTGTTTGCAGGTTCTCAAGTGTGTTCTTCAAGTCTATACCCCTTCCAATCGACTAGATAGTAGAGTTTAGATCGTGAGATCTTGGAATCAAGGATGTCCTGAACCTCATACTCAGACCCATCCTCAAGCTGCACTGGTGCTGATTTGGAATAGGACTGGGAATATAAGGCTCAAGGAGAGAGGAGTGAAAAACGGGGTGAATTTGATAGGAGGAGGGAAGTGTAAGGCGATAAGTGACAGGATTAATGATGGCAATGATAGAGAAAGGACTGAGGTGTTTGAAATCAAGTTTGGGATATGGCCTGGTGGTGGAGATATTTCACCTAAGGAGCCAGACTTTATCCCCGATATTGTAAGGGGGACAATCCTGATGATGGACATTGGCAAATGTTTTGTGAGATTCCTGAGCATGATGGAAGTGGAAGGAGATGGAGTTGTGGATTTCCTGGAAGTTGGAGACAAATGCCTCAGAGCGGGGATTTGAACAAGAGGATTCAGA